GAAAACATGGTTCTAGGTGGCCACCATCATACTCAGTTACCCCAAAATCTGGTCACTCATTTCAAACATAACTATGTTAGAAAAATTAAATTTTGTTGGGCAGCTTGTTACAATTTAATTTTATTACAACATATAAATTTGGTTCAACAATTTACGTAAGAAATATAAAAATTTTAAAAGTCTTGTTACTCAACTTGAGTTAAACTTTATTTCCAGTTTATATTCCAAATAGGGTATAATGACACACACACACACACACACATACACACATATATTCACAAATAATAAGCCAGAAATCAGAGAAATAATTAATTTAACCTGAATCCTTTATTCTATCTATGTGTATTGTGGGTTGGGATTTTTTTACTCATGGTCAAGGATGTAAAGAGATGTTAAATGTGTGTGAGAGTTGGAGGTAAATCAGTTATCTATGTATCATGTGCTTCTGTTAGAAACAGAGTTCCTCATTGCATGACCCCATTAATCTAGAAATTGGAGCAGTGAGATCTTGTGTGACACTCCCCTGTTGGCTCAGTAAACACAGTAAAGATTGTCAGCCCATATGTGATACTCTTTCTCATGAACCTATAGTTTCTACAGATAGTGCTAAGAAGTGCGGGTGGCTTAAAATTCTGAGATTTTATAGACCCACACCAGGCACATCATTGGTCAGGAACATTGTTGTCAGAGATGGCTCTGAGTAAATTAATGCACAAAAGAAATAGATACAAGGATATACCTCCTGGTTTTGCATATCTGACATCCAAATACCCAGATTTTAAGCAGCATGTTCAGATAAATCTGAATGCAAGACTAAGTGTTAATTTTAAAGACCCTGAAGCAGTCAGAGCTCTAACTTGTACTCTCCTAAAGGAGGATTTTGGACTTTCTATTGATATCCCATTGGAGAGATTACTTCCCACAGATTTATTGAGACTCAACTATATTCATTGGGTGGAAGACCTGATTGATCATCAAGACTCTGACAAAAGTACTCTCCAAAGAGGAATTGACATAGGTATAGGGGTATCCTGCATCTATCCCTTACCTTACTTGGAGCAACCTTAAATGGCTGGCATTTCCTTGCTACAGAAGTATTTGATATGTATTTCAACTATGCAAAGAAAAATGTGGAACAGAGTAAATTATCTGATCTCATAAAAGTGGTAAAAGTGCCACAAGACACTCCTGATGGATGGTCTTAAAGAAAAATCTGAGATAATCTATAACTTTTGTATGTGCAGCACCCTCCCCACTCCTTTTTGCCAAACAATTAGAAGCCTAGGGAGTAAACTCTCGAAACCCTCAAAGACCTCCACCTAGTTCTGAAAATACAGGAGGTATCACAGAGCTTATGGCAGAAGGAGTTGAATTAGCGTTTGTTAAATGATCATCTATGACAGTTTACAGCTTTAAAAAAGGCGAAGGTGGTAGAGCTGTATGCTGGGAAAGAAATGTAGCCTGGCTCCACTGAAGGAAGAACTTCACATCCAAGGGGTTCCCAAAGTTACATTCACTGAGTTTTGTCAAGGTTTTGTCAATGAGATGGGCCTTAGCTTGGAGTTTTTATGATGATATCACAGTACCATTCCCATCACGTAAGCAAAGAAAATTAGAGAAGCCAAGAAAACCCATTACATTGTGGTGTTGGAGTCTGTGATGGAAGAATTATCCCTCAAAGAATCATCTTTGGGGTCTGAGACAGTGGAGGGCATAGTGGTTTTAACAATATAGAAAAAATTCTCACTGATTTAAAGGTCTAGCATAAATGAGTTCCCTGTGGAAAAGAGGGAGCTAGTCTTTCCCTGACAACCACGGAAAATTCCTGAATTCATTTAAGGCGAAAGAAAAGAAAGCGAGTAAGACAACTGAGGGAAGTGCCTCGAGCTCCTGAGGATGTCATACAGGCCTTGGAGGAGAGAAAAGCCATCCCCAGAGAATTGGGAAGTAGCCAGAATTTGGCCCCATGCCCCCAGGAAGGTACCCTGAGGGGTCTGATCTGCAGAGGGTGAGTCTGCCATTGTTGGGGGCCACTGCCCAAGAGGAAATCCCAGAACCCATGGAGGATGAAAGGAGTGAGGAAAGGGGAGGGGAGAGGTTATAGAGAGTTGTAAAGTCTTTTGCAATGAAGCCCAGGATCCAGAGGCTTCTGAGAAGTTTAGCAACCCAGGGGCTGAAAGGTAGGGTAAGTCCCTCCAAGGAGTAGCTTGATATTACCTATTTAAGTGTTTGATAAACATTAAGAAGGAAATGGATGATGCCTTAGTTGAAATGCAGTGGATTGGGGGACAGAACAGAGATTTGATGAACCAGCTTTGTACCTGTATACATAACCAGATTTTTAGGCTTTTTGCTAATTAACTCCAAACTTCTTGCAGTTCGAAGAGTGTCTACAGAGACTGGGGGTAGTGGCTCAGCTTACCATGTGGAAGGACCCGAGTTCTATCCCCAGTCCTCCTCTGACCCCCCTAAAAAAACAAAGAGAGAGAGAAAAAAAAATACTATTAAGCAGATTGTTTGGAGTAGCCTGTATGGTGGCAAGAGGAATTTCACCACTGGCCCATTAGTAGTAGTATTGTGTGAAATTATCTTAAAAAGCAGAAATCAATTAATTCATTTTAAAGTTATAGGGAATTATAGTACAGTGGTTCAGGAAGAAGAATTATGGTTATCAGCAAGAACAAAAACCTGTTTGTAAACTCAGGAGGGACATAAAGCTGACTCGAGCTGGTCATCTCAGCTTTGGACTGAATTTATGAGGTCAAAGATCTTTTTTGGTGTCTGGTCTGGGTCAGCACTTCCCAGAACATCATGGTCTCAAGTCCCCCAGTGTCTTCATAAGAGGAGACACTCTTGTCCTCCAAAGGAGAACAGAAAGGCCCCAGTGCCCACTTCGAGAGTCACCTTTAAGACTAAGCCTCAGACCCTGCGTACATGATTGGTTAATGTGCTTCAGTGCCCAGACATGAGCTGACCTGATGGTAGGTGGTGGAAGAGTTTGGAGGAGAAACCTTAGTAAGATCAGGAAGAAGGGCCCCTCTGCAGTATGCCTGGAAAATGGAACATTGCTGACTCCTGGCTATTTTGATGTTGCTTATTTCAGAAGCAGAATTAAGTGAACAAAACTCCTACATATGACTGAGACAACAAAATACACTCATAACCTGACTTCCAACCTGTTAGAAGTAACATTTTGTAGCCATTTTGCTGCTGTTTGATTTCTGTTAAACATATGAAGCTGAATGTGTTTTATTTTTAATATAAGGCAGAATTAAACTGTCAATACTGTTTGAATCCTGGGATTGGGGAAAATACTTTCACAGGTAAATGATGATCAAAATGTGAAAGAGAAAAAGGCACTATGTGCAGTCATAGCTTCAGAAAACCTCACCTATTGGCAGGTAATTTGTTGCTGATCAAGTGCTGCTTCTTGTGTCTTCCCTTATAATCCCTTCTGTGCATTGGAGCATTCTGATGATAGCACTGGAGCATTCTGGGGAAAAGCTAACTGTGTCATCAGAATAGGTTTCCAATTGAAATGCCAGGGTTCAGCAGGTACCTCTGGAAAGGATTCTTGGTTTTTGTTCTCTTCGTGTCTCAGTAAACCATCTCGGTGCTTGACTCTCAACAATTCGATTTTGCATCACTACCCTAGTATTCTGTTTAGAGTAAAATCTTTGAGTTAATACCAGAGCTCCTTGCCCATTCCAATGAAGATGGCTTAGTTAAGCCTCCCTGTTGAGAGGTGGCTATTAGGGCAGAAAGCCAGTGACTGTGGCATATTTTGGTGGCGGCTAGATTAGACCCTCTGTAAAGGCATAAAGGAAAGAAAATATTTTGTCTCACTTTGGCAGTAGAACTGGGGAAAGAAGTTGTTTTAAACCCAGGGCTCTTTGCATACTAGACAAATGTTAATACCACTGAATTCTATCCTGTGTCCTTTAGTTTTTTTGGTACAGGGTCTTGCCTCATTGCCCAGGCTGGCCTCAGACTTGTGATCCTCTTGCTTCAGCCTCTTGAATAGCTGGGACTACAGGTGTGCACCACTGTGCCCAGCTGGGAAAAGAGCATTTTAACCAATAACCAGTATTTGGAACCTAGTCTATGAACCTCCAGAGAATCCATAGGCCTCCTGGAAGTTCTGTTATGGCAAGACTTCAGTGAGATAAGAACTTGAGCATATGGGGGAGTGGGCTTTTCAACTTCCTTTTCTCTCCTTATTCTGCTGGAGTTTTCAATTTCCGGTCAGAAAATCTACCAGTGGACTCAAATGAAAAGGCTGAGACCTCAAATGTATAACTGATAAGCTTGTGTATGAGTTGCTGACGCATAGGATAGGCCTCTTTTAAAGACTCCTCCTTGTATATTGCTGATTTGTCCACTAAAAAGTCTGTGCTAGTTTACATTTCCATGAGTGCCTGCTGTTATCACACTTGATAGCACTAAGAGGCAGGGAGGAACTCACTCCTCATCTTCACCAGTTTCTGTAAGACTTTCAAGACTCTGCACTCCACACTGACAGCACTTCTTCAGGCTGGACTAGCCCAGACAGTCCAAGAAGAGGACCAGGCTACTACTACTCAACTTGCCATCTTGATGACCTTCAATAAGATACCTTCTCTTGGGAGGTCCTAAGCATCTATTAGCCATAAAACAAAACATTAGGACCAACTCTTTGGAGATAGCTGACCTTGGGATCATTCCCCAAACCTGCTAAGCTTTTTATTGAGACATCAAAAAGACTTCCCTTGTTGGGTATGGTGGAGCATGCTTATAATCCCAGCGGCTCAGGAGGCTAAGAAAGGAGGATCACAAGTTCAAGACCTATCTCAGAGGCTTTGCCAGACCCTGTCTCAAAATAAAAATGGAAAGAACTGGAGATATAGATATATCCAGGTAAAACACCCCTGGATTTAATCAATGTTGGCTAAATAAATAAATAATGAAAGCACAATATACTTTAATTTTTAATACACTATGTTGATTTTTTTTTCTCACAGCTACCTTGGAAATTGCTGAAGACTATCCATTATTTCAATCAATTTATAGAGTGATTGCCACAGATGAGGACTCTGCAAATGGTGATCAGCTGATGGTACGTGGCTTCCATTGTGTGAGATGCATATATTGCTTCAGCAGACAGAGCAATGCACTGGAGATGTTTCTTGGGAGTAGTTGATACAATTTGATAATTAAAGAGCATATAATGAAGTTAGAAATCACTAAAATGCAATTTTAGTGTTAATATTTGTGTTAATGTTGGAAATGGTATTTTTAGTTTCTTGAAATTTATATGAAAATGATAAAGTAACTTATCCTGGAGGTATGGGCTAAGAGGAAAACATCCATGGTGAGGGAAAACTAGCGCTTTGGTTTTTGAAAGCCAATCAGAATGGTTTTACTTTTCTATGTCAATAACACATGTGAAATATAAATTAATATTTATATGTATAGACACATACATACATGTTTCAGTATCCTAATTACTAAGTATTTAACCCAAAGAAACTTGCTTTTCTCATAAATGATTTATGGTTGTAATGTCTCTTAAAGAGTTGGCAAAATAAAAAGAACTCATAACCCATAAAGTTCTTATCTGGAGAGTTTAGTTGTGCACTGAACTGCAAAAGTCAGCACGCTGGCTCTGCAGCTGTTCTTTTTGAACACGTATTGAAGTAGTTTACTACTTCTAATTTAGTAACTCACAGTATGAAGTAATGAAAGCACAATATACAAATGGCAGTGGGACTGTCAGCTGGGACTGTCAGTGGGACTGTCAGCTGGCTGACTGGGCTGTTATGGATTTACCACTATTAGTGATAAGATCCAGGGGAAGTCACTTAATCTCTCCTGCCCTTGGATTCCACAATTGTAAGAGATTTTTTTCTCTCTTTCCCTAACCTTCAGTAATGTATTTGCTGTCAGTCAAAGTATTCAAAATCCCTGTGGAATGCTCCAAAAAATTATTTTGTTGTAGACTAGCTGATATAAAATTGTTAAGAAACATGAGATCCTTTCCATTAGATGATATATTTTCAAAAGATTAAAAAAATAACTTATAGTTCAGTTGAAAATAGTTATTTCTAGCTCTGCCATTTGCAGGAACATGAGAAGTACCAGAAGGTGATTGTTTTAAAATTTAGTGTTTTGAAAAATAATTATATTGTTAAGGATAGAATGCAAATTAAATTGAAAAGAAATACACAGAAGTAATTGAGCTTCTTTTTTATTGAATTTTTATCTCATTTGTAGCTAAAATTTACTATGTTAAATTAAGGAAAGATTTATCTGCCTCTCCCTCACCTCAAAGGTGGTGTCAAATAAATTGAAAGTAAAATGAAGAACATAAAATATATCACAAATTGCATATTCAAGTGTATGAATACTTGAAATTCATTTATACTCATAATTCTTGTTTCGTTTTGTAAAATTTAAAGTGATGAGTTTAATTATGTGTTATTCAATCAAAGGTGCATTAGTTTGAAAAATCAGAATTATGTATATTTTTAAAATTTTCTTAGAAAAATGTAGAGTGTTGGGCAGCTCTATTAAAAAGTAGCAGATGTTTCCGTTGTGCTTATAGGCTAAACAACTGAATTATTTTTTCAGTACTGTGGATTACAACTTATCAGTGATTCTGATACTAACTATATCATGAAGAAAAATTGAAATTAATTATATTTGCTATATTATTGTATGCTAATAATCTTCTATTTCCTTGGTATATTTTATTTTTCTAGTACACCATTGAGACACAGTTATCTGGACCAAAGGAAGGAGCAAATTCTTTTGGAATGGATCCTATAAGTGGTGTTGTTAGCTTGAAAGGTGGAGACCCCCTGGACTTTGAAGCTGGATATCATGTAATTAATATATTTATTTATTTTTCTATAGAGAGTGAAAGGGATTTTTAAAAATAATTTTGAATCCTTCATGAAAAACTAAGTACATTTTTATTTTAAAGAAGGGTAGTGTTTTCTGAGATTCACTTGAATTTTTACAGCTAACTAAAAGTCTAGATCTGAACCTTATTGTTAGCAAAACATACTGATTGTGTCTTGACCTTTTAGATTAAAATTTAAATCCTTTTGCATATCAAAGGAAATGGAGGAAACTTAAAATGGTCAAGTTTTCATATTGAAACTGACTATTCATACCCTGCCTCACTTAGAATATTAGCCAAGGTAGGACCAAGTATAAGCCTTATGATGAACTTGAGACTAACACGGTGGGAAAGAATATTTCTGGTAGTTCTATGAGAAACATAATGTAAAGAAAGCATTTTGAGGATGATTTTTTTTTTTGAGTGAAAAAGGATATGTAAGTAGGAACAGCTGATTGGAAAGAAACCAGCTAAATGGCTATTGAGATAGTCTCTCCACATTAAAATTAGGTGTGAAATTTGAGAAATAGAAGATGTTATTATCATTATCACCATTGTTATTATTATTGTAAAAACATTTCTGTTCTCAGAAATGCCTCCATATGTAATGATTCAATAAGGTGACAGAAGAAAAAGGGACAAAAGGCAAGATGCAAAACATTACAGTAAACATAGAGAATGTATTGCTGATTAGTTTTTTGGGAGAAGGAAGAGATAATATTTAAAGATGATCTCAACATTTTTGTCTGAAAGACATAAATGGAAGAAAGCAGATAAATTGTATTTAAAGATAATTTGGTTTTGTTGAATGTTGGAGTATAACGGAGAGGCCAATTTGACATAGCTTTTAAATAATTTGAGTACTAGGAATACAATATGAGATTAGAATGAGGTGGAAAAGAAATGGAGGTTATGCCTAAGAGCTATGTATTTATGTATTTTTTAGATGTATACTTCTAACCCTCCCCTACCTCAGTTCCACTGCTGCCTTTACTTCAGTCAATTTTCTGTTTAGTCCTTCTTCAACTTTCCACTATGTACCCTAATGAGACCTGAATTACCCACCCAAGAAACTGAAGTTTGGTACAATCACTGTAGGGTTTACCCAACAGAGTCTCGGACATTGTGGGCGGTTACTTAATGTTTGCTCAGGAAGGGCTCATACTGGAACTCTTAATGCCTCAGTGGTGTATTGTTTTTGTTTTCAAAGGGACAGCTGATGATCAGAATAAATTGCTAGGGACTGAGATGTATGATAGGCTGACATGAAATGTATTTGAGATCTGTTAAGCTTCTCAACTCTTCAGAAGTTATAGCAAGTCCTGGAACCCAGAGTAGCTCCTTGTCCTGTGTAGGGTTTACCATCAAATGCATTAGATTTGGGGTTTATTATTGAATCTAAAACTTGTTCATAGTTTTGGTTTAGTTGCTCCTATATTTAGACATATAGTCAAACTATACAGTCCTCTGAGTAAATTTAATGCCATATAAATTGCAGCTATTTTGAAATTTACTACTAACCTAACTAAGTAAGAGAGCCCTTATATTTATTTTAACTACCTGGAAGAAAAATAAAAAGCTATATCTAATTGGAGAGAAAAAGGACAACCTAACAGGAGACACACTGTAAAAATACATGTGTATTTCCAATTACCAAATAGTATATTACAAAGTTTCTAAAAACTCTTTTCCAGGTTTTCCAGCTTGCCCTGAGAGCAACAGATAAAACAGGTCTGTTCTGCCAAGGGACACTAATTATCAAGATTATAGACATAAATGACGAGAAGCCTCAATTTGAGTAAGCATATTTATTATTACTTTTACTAAATAACTAGAATTTAATGCTAGATAAAAGCAATACCAATATTACCAAATTGTCATCCCTGAACACATTTTTCATCTCTTTAGAGACATAATACATTAAATAACAGCTAAGGAAATAGAAAACGAAATTATTGAAAGTGGTTCAGAATGTCAATATGAGGAGTCACATTATGCTGAGGTATAAAGGAAGAACCACATTGGATTTGGTGATGAAGTACGTAGTGTGATAGTAGGAGCAAATGTGACTCCATTTTGTTTTATGACTTCGTCCTGTAAAACAACCATGCCAAGTAGAAGAGTCATGACTGGAGCAAGATGTTCTTTTCCTTTTGCTATAGAAACCTTTAAGAACACGGAACTACCTAATGGGGCATTGTTTCTGTAACTAGGGTAACCAGGCTCTGTTTCTGTAACTGGGGTGACTGGGCTAACTGTAACTGGTTAGGCTTCCCTCCACTTGACTGCACTGTCCTGCTTCTGTAACCTGGCTTGCTTGCATTGGCTAGACCCCCCGAATATCCCTTTTGCGGTTTTCAGGCTTATAAGGAGTGCCCTTGCAATTGTTCGGGGCTGATCAGGGGAACAGCTTTATGTTCTGGTCAGCCACCACCAGTGTGCTTCAATAAAGGCTTGATTCGATTATACATGAGTGGTCTGGAAGTCAGTTCATGAAACCCTGGGACAAAGCTTTAACTATAACAGTAGCATCACTCACTCACTTCCCTTTACTTAGACATTACATTCCTTTAAAGACTTCCTTGAAAAATCTCTCCAATCCCCAGAATCAGTCTTCCCTTTTCTGTAAACTTTCAGCAAACTTAGCATCTCACCAATTACATAGCATAGTAGGTATTTATAACTGTATTGCCTATTAGCAGTGAGATTTTTGAATGTTAGGAGACAAGGCTTAGTCAGGCTTAGTCATCTGTGCATAAACTAGCATAACATATGGTAGATTATCAATAAGTATTTGATGCCTTGAATGAAGGCAGAATGAGAAAAAGATGTAAGTTTCAAAAATGTCCTGGAATGATCAGGGACTTTAAGTATGACTCAAAAAGGTGTGCAATAAAGTTCCCAAAATCAGGGCTGGAGTTGTGGTTCAGTGGTAGTGTGCTTGCCTAGCATGCATGAGGCACTGGGTTCAATTTTCAGCACCACATAAATTAAAGACAATAAAGTCTATCAACAACTATTTAAAAAAAACAGAAAAAATTAGAAGTATTTAAAAAAAATAAAGTTCCCAAAATCATCTCCATGGTTGCTCTAATAAGTTGCAACTTTGGCTACCATTTCATCATACCAGATAATAAGATGAAAATGGCCATATTTATTACCTTATGTTCAACTGGCAACTATTCCATACGTTGGATATCTGGAATAACAGAATTATATAATTCCATTCTGCTTTTCATTTTTCATCTATTTTATGTCATGGTATCTTTGATGCCTGGCAAGGGACCAGAGACTATATTATTGAAAATTAATGCTTTTGCAGAAACTAAGTAACTTTGTGCCACAAATGAATTTTCTCGACATTTGGATAGCTCCGTGACACTTCAATTCTTGACAAGAGGAAGTAGTATTATCACAAATCTAAAACTTTCTTCAAAGTTTGTCACAACTTGCATTTATGTGTGTAAGAATTTGTAAATTTGTAAATCTCCAACTGTTTTTTTCAACTCTGTCTTTAACTTTCTTTAAGGCCATTTCCTCTGGATTCTATTAATGTGACTGAAAAGAAACCTGTAGGAGAAATTATAGCAAGAGTAAAAGCAACAGATCGAGATGAAGATAACAGCATCACTTATTCCTTTAAAACTCAGCAGGAAATGTTTGGTTTGGACCCTCGTGAGTTTTAGATACATTTCTTGGAGCCTACTTTGGTTAAACATTCATTATATATCTCTATACATTTATAGAACTTGGCCTGGTTCAACTACACTTTCAAAATTAAATGTGGAGAAGCACACATACCAAAAACATGGCATTTATAATTGCTATTTTCCTACTGGTTAAAATGGCATTCTTATGAAATAATGGGTGATATAAACTAATTTTTTTATAAGTGGCCATCATTTTTTTTAAAGAGAGAGAGGGAGAGATATTTTTTCAATATCCATTTTTCAGTTTTTGTTGGACACAACATCTTTTTTTTATTTGTATATGGTGCTGAGGATCGAACCCAGCGCCCTGCACATGCCAGGCGAGCGCGCTACCGCTTGAGCCACATCCCCAGCCCAGTGGCCATCAGTTTTTAGAGATAATTAGTACAAAGGCATCTGTGAAATCCTTGCAAACTATATGACACATAAGTCATAGTTATTATCTCAATTTTATTTGTAGAGATTGGGACTTTTCATGGATAATTTGATTAGCATATTTGGTTATGGATAGATTTCTATGTGGAGAAGATTCCGTTTCTGAAATTTTCTTATAGGCTGTTGAGATAACTGATTTTATTAGTAAAACATTCACTATATATCTCTATATAGTGGGTTCAAGCAGACAATCAGAAGTACCAGGGGTACACTGAGGGAGCTTCTTTAATACTCTCTGAAAGGCTGTTCTAACATAATGCTAGAACTTGAAGTTCACAAGGAAAGAAATCAGGAAGAGAAGACAAGTATAAAGTGTGGTAAGTTAAGGGTAGACTAGAACATAGAAGCATCTGATAGACCCTACAAGTAGGGACTGAGACCCACATTGGTTTTTATTGTCTCTGACCTGGGTGTTGTTGGTAGCTCATGAAAGCTGGGGCATTTCATCACAGGGCTGAGCACACATACCTGTTCAGCAAGTCAGAGAAACTGGAAGAACTACAGCAGGTCAGGTAGTTGCAGACTCAGCTAGCTGGTTTACACCAACAGTGATGAAGGGGACCAGCCAAAACATATGTAAGGAACGAAAGGGCTGATGCTATCCTCATCCTTCACATTGGCCAAGAAGCTCCCTTATGACCCACATGAGCCAAAACACACACAATAATTAGAATTGTGGAAAATAAAATTTGGCTTAGAAGAGTTGACATACTTTAGAATCATCATACTGATCAACCAACATTTGAGATCATTCATTTAAGTTCTTAGAGTTATTACCAATTTATGCATCTGTCTTTAAAATGCAAATGTCAGGCTGGGATTGTGGCTCAGGGGTAGAGTGCTCTCCTAGCACACGTGAGGCACTGGGTTCAATTCTCAGCACCACATAAAATAAATAAATAAAATAAAGGTATTGTGTCTACCTACAACTAAAAAAATATTTTTTTAAAAGATGCAAATGTCATTGGGAGAAGAAACTAGCTAAGGACAATTTTGGCAAGACTAAAGCTTTTGAGAGTTAGGAAGACACTCAGGATTAAGCCAGATGATTCCAGAGCAAAAAGAAGGAATTCTGGGAAGGAAGGTAAGTAGGTGGTGGCAGCAGGGATAGTCTCTTATGCTTTGCAAACTTTCTTTAGTTTGATCTTTAAACTCATTTTTCATTTTTTATGCAATGAGATTAATTTGAAAGGCAAAAGCAATGAATGATTAGGATTTCGAAATGTTTTTACTAATTTTTAAGGTTCAATAGCATTAGCAACAATTTATTATTGTAATTAAAATGAAATACAATGGTCTGTGTTTGCTTTTTTTTACAAGTAGTTGTAAACAAATAAATGACAATTTACAAACTTGGAGGAAAATTTGATGAAACAATTTTTAAATATGATTATTTTAAAATATAAGCATACAGTAAGCAGAAGCATACTATAAAATAAAGAAATATTTCCAATGAATGTATAATTGCTAACAATTGTTTTTCTCATTCACAGAAAAATATATCATTAAATAAATTTAAAAATTGTCAATATAAATAAACTAACATAAGCTTACTGATTTGGTAATTCTTTACTTTATTTCTTTCATTAGTTAAAGGTATAATCACTCTTCTCCAGCCTTTGAATCTTGACAACCCAAATAACTCCAAAACCTACCCTTTGGAAATTGAGGCCAGAGATAACGGAAATAATACCAACACTTACATGTTTACAGTTTTTGTGGAGAACATAGATGATCCTATTTCCTGTGACTCAAGTTTTTCAACAGGAGCAGGTATATTACAGGTTAATTTTATTTTAAAAAATATATGAAATGATACAGCAGTAAAATTTAAAAATAAAACCTAGAATTGTAGTTCAAATTTACTTAGTTTTATTAAAAATAATTTAAATCCTGAATACAAGATATAACATGCTTTGGAAAAGAAAACACTATATTCAAATTGTTGTTTTTTTTCTTTGTGTGGTAGATAGAGGATAGGAGAAATGACAAAATTATTCTAAGCTTATCTGTCACATACAAATTAATGTGTAGCTTTAAAAGATGCCAAATACCAGAAAATATAAATAACAAAATATATTTTTCACCTACTATATTGTTTAAGACATAAATATAACAGGAAAAAAAGGTAATGTTATATAGACATTGAAAAATTAGCAATTTTAAGTTCGGATTTTTTAATAACCACACAGAATATTATGGTAGTAAATATTTGTTTTAAAAACTGATTACAATCTTTCTCCCAGAATGTTTCTTAGAGTTTATCTTTGCCAAAATATTAAAACATGGTCAAGATTTATTGCAAAATTTGTAATAAGAATAACTTGAAATAACCAAAATGTCTAACTATAGGAAATTGACCAAAAGTTGATATATATTTTAATGAATTACTGCCTAGTCTTTAAAAATTGCCTTTTAAAAAATAATAGGCATGAGATGACAATGATATACACTTTAGTTTGCTTAATTTTGTGTACAATGATGTCATTGTACATTGTCCCCCCAATAATTATAAACATATGCTATTTTATTTAATCATTTCTTTTTGTATGAGTACAGTAAATTAGTCTGAACATGCCTGATTTTTTTGTTGTTGTTGTTGTTATTGTTTCTGTCTGTTTTGGGTGCTGGGGATTGAACCCAGAGGCACTTTACATTTAGCTATATCCCAAGCTCTTTTCACTTTTTATTTTGAGATAGATTCTTACTAAGTTGCCAAGATTGGCCTCCAACTTGCAATCATCCTGCTTCAGCCTACAAAGTCACACAGTGCCTGGCTCTACTGTTAATTTTTAATGTCTCTTATATTAAAAAACTCTAGCTTTAATTATAAAATTTCAGTGTATTAAGAATATAATAGTGTCATTACATCTGATAGCCTTACTCCTCCAAAGAGAATTACTGGAATCTGTATACCTTTATATATAAAATAATGAAACATGTTCTTATACTTTGTGCTACATAATTCAGAGCCTCATATACTGTTCATTAACCTCACCCTTATGTGTGTTGTTTTTTTTTTTTTCATGAAGGCTTTTTAAAAATAAACTCTTTTAAACATTTGACTGTATTTAGACAATGCACATAACTGGAGCTCTGAAACAGATTGGCTTGATTTAATTTTAGTTGGGTCAGCTGGATCTCAATAATTATATCTGTTCTGCTTGTTCTCCTTTTCTCTTCTGTTTTTTCCTAAACTTAGCCACTTCGTTATTTGTCATATTAAACTTAGCCACTTTGTTATTTGTCTCCTTTTACCTTTTCTGTTTGAGTGCTTGTCTTCCTCTCCCTATTTCTATTAGGAGAAACTGAAAGTTGAAGTCAAGAGGAACAAGGCAAATTTCATTAAAACACTCCTCCCTCTCCCCCGGACCAGTGCCTGTCTATTGCAGCTGTGTAGCGACTTCTCACAGTGTTCCCTCTTCTGTCCACAGAAGCATCACCTTTTGAAAATTCAAAATTTCTAACACACACACACACACACACACACACACTTCTTGCTTTGAGCAAAAACATACCTTCTGCTATGGATACTAATAAATATCTCTGAAATAGGAATTTATGTCAAAGGGATTGTTCTCAGGCTGAAAGAGAAGTCCCCTAGGTGAGCTCTGGCAATGAGCCAGCTTTCCATTTGATGTTTGTGAAGATAGTATCTTTTGGATCACTTTGAAACAATAGGATGTTCTCTGTAATTTCCATTCAGTCTCCCCAAATTATAGTAAGCTTTAAAAAGATACACATGGATCCCATGAAGGTCATTTTGACCTGTTTTCTACCAGACTTGGCTGAACCAACACAAACTGCTCAAGCACTATCAAGATCATGATGCCCTCTTTTCCATTACGTGGGCTGTGTCCTTGGGATGGATGGATAGTAGGGGAAAATTACTTTCTATGAAACACAGGGTAACTAAGTGCCTCTCTGAAAAGGTGTTGATCTGATTTTTAAGTTGTTGGTTTGATACACATGTTCACCTCACTGTGGTTTGTTATCTCTCTATAATTAACACAGAGCAAACCATTAAGTTAGAGAATCTGTTTATATGTGTTCAATTTGAAACAAAAGTTCAAAAAAAAGCTAGTTCCATTTACACAAAAATTATTCCTTAACATCCTTAGAAATAGTCAAATAATATGAGGCTTTTGCAGAACCACCTAATTTATATCCAAGACTGAGACTTTTTGAGAATCCTAGATGAAGAAACTACCAATGATTTAAGTGTGCATGCATCTGTGTTATTTGATTTTGGGGTGAGAGAATCACAATGGTAACATTGGACGTAAAATAAGAAATGTTTGGGGAAATGAGAGTAGCAGTTGTGAAATATTTATGTAAGGTATTTTATTTAGTCCTCAAAACTACTCTGAAGTTGGAAATGTACTTTATCTGCATTGTCCAGATGAGAATACTGATGAAGCAGGAATTCAAGCTCATTTCTTCTGACTTTGCTACCTGGCTCCACATTGTGAACATTATTGGGGAACAGAACAAAAACTTCAATCTTCTAACATATAAGAATCCCAAATGAAATATCTTAGAGACTATCGAGGTTGTACAAGCACTGAGCAATTATATCCCATTCCACACACTAGTCCTAAATTTAAATTTAGAAATATGAATTGGAACTATGTTGATTTAAAAAATACAGATGTTTATGTGAATAAATATTTTTAGTTTTCCGAAAATGTATTAAGAAAACTGCTTGAAAGCCAGACATGGGAGCATAAACCTATAGTGTCAGCACTCAGGAGGTTGAGACAGGAGCATCAGTTGAGCCCAGGGGTTCAAGCTCAGCCTGAGCAACATAAAAAGACTCTGTGAGCCACAAAAAACAAACAAACAAAAACCTGAAGTTGAAATTTTTACAGCATGAAGACATATCACACCCATATGAGGCAAAGAATGTTTGAATTTAAAATTTTGTTCATGATTTTGGTAATTTTATAGGTGTTTCAGTGTCTGTTCCTGAAAATATTCCTGCATCTGCTTTTATATATATGATTCTTTCAAGGGACCCAGATATAGGACAAGAAGTTGAAGTAAGTTTTTAACTGTCAGTTATTATTTTTTAAAAAAATTGATTTAAAAGTGTCTAATTTTTAATCAGCAAAAAGTTATTTCATCAGCTTTTTAACTAAAGTAGTCACCTAATGACAGATTTACACACTAATGAAATGTCCTTTCATTATTTTTTTTTATTCATTTCAATCATGTCATTTCATTGTTATTTTCTTTTATTCACTCCAGTCAGGCATATTTTCTTCTTATACATGTAATTTGAATAATGGACATTTTAGATCTCCCCCTTATTTCTGGTTTCAGCAATAATTCCTAAAGAATAGAAAATTCATAAGTAATAGATGACAACATGGTTACAGCTTAAGAGGAGGTAAAGAAAAAACTTAAGATAATTTATTCATAACTGCATTTTCTCAGAAATTTCTAATGGTGCAATATGACCTAAATGTAATTATATTTTTTAAGAAAACAACTGGATTCTTGATTATACATTATAAATCATATTAATATATTAGAACATTCTGCCTTAAATTTAGCAACTCTAATTCTCCATAGAAGAGACTTACATTGTTTCCCATTTGTTCATAATTGTTGCAAAAATACTGGCTTATAAACATGACTTGAGAATTCAGTTGAAACTAAAGTTTAGAGGAGCAGATCTCTGGAGAATTAAGCCTATATATAATTTTTATGGTGACCCGATTTCAATTGAGGCATTGATTAGCATACTCGATTACATGTTTTGTTCATATGAATTTAGACGGAGAATAGACGACAACACAGGAAAAAAATGAAATTCCTTGTTTACAGGTTCAGATCCTCCATTGTGTGAGTGTGTGTCTCAGGAGGGAAAAAGACAGAAGATGGGGGTCTTATGCGTTTGAAATATGTGGGTTTATGTGGGGGTTTTGGCTATGTGTAGAATTGGTGTTTCCATAAATATAAATTGTAATTATGTGTTTACACGTATATTCCATAAGTAAAATTTATAACATTTGGATTTTATTGCAAAAGTCATTAGGAAAGAGAAACAAAGACTTGGAAGATGATAATTTTTTTAATAATTCAAAACCATAATAGTAAGGGGAGAAACAAAAAAATTCCACAAGAATATTTAGTGGAGTTTATTCTAAAATAAGCCAACTTTAGTTGTTCACTTACAGACAATAAAATGTAAGCCGTTATGCCTGTCAAAATGGCCATTGTGACTTTTTAGAAATGGCATTGGATATCACATCTCCAAGTTTTATTCTTTTTCTTTAAGCCAGAATCTGGATGTAAATTTTTTGTAATTTCGTTTCTCTATGAAATTCTTTTCAAAATCTTTAATATTCATCTTGAACCTGGGCCCAGTTATAGGCATGGGTGACATCAATGTACAGGAACATGCCTATGCCCATAAAATCTTTGTCTCCAAAGCAATATTTCATTTTTTTCCATATAGAAAATCAATACAGAGATGACATCAAATGGTTTCTTCCAAGTATTTTAGTGCATGTACCTCCTTTAGATACACTTCCTGAGTATACAAGAGGGAGTGACATTTTTTTTTAAATTGGAAAAAGCTGCATATGTGAAACTACAAAGTAATTATGAAAACAGTGACAAATATTTACAAAAATGCTCTAGTACTTAAGCACATGAACCAATGGAAAAAGTACAGTTAAAATGCGAAAAGAATGTTCAAATTGTTTTTGAAGTCTGGAACTGAGAGTAGGTTCAGATTTAATTTATGGGCACTGTTTTTACAAACCTAATTTTTATATAGGTCTGGCCAAATATCTGCATCAAAACTGTCAGCTCAAAATTCACGCTTTTTCAATAATGTATTTACCATGTTTGTGTTTTTTCTTTAAGTTTCTAATATTAAATTCTTCAACTAACGCCACTGCCTACTTTGCTTTGGATTCACGTAATGGTGTCATTTCTAAAACCATTGAACCTCTTTTGGACTATGAAACAAATCCTAAGGTGAGACTAAATATAAAATAGAGAATTAAAATAACAAATGCCTTTAAATACTTTTTCAATGAAAAATAATTATTGGAACTTATCTAAATTGAAATAAAAATATACCAAATTTTATGTAATTGCCTTTTCATATTCACATAGATCATGTAGAAATTCTCATTAAGAAAACTGATGAAAAACTTAATTGATTCATCTTACTTTTTACTTAGACCTTTTAAAAATATCTCTATTGTTGTATGTGCTTCTATGGGTGTGTGTAAATGTTGGAAGAGGGATCCTCTCTATATTCAAAAGCCTAGAACTGAGACAATGTCCTGTGTAATTTAATGAGATCATACTTCTTAGTTTTGAATTATCTGGAGAACTGCATCTGTCTGACTTTACTTGATTGTAGAGACCTAACCTCTTTTTTTCCTCATTGTCCTGGTCAAATTTCAAATTTAAAAAGATTGAGAAAGAAAAGTATAAGGAGATGGAGAAACATAATAAATCACTTCTCCCTACCAACTTGTTCTGAGAAATGGAATCATTTAAATTTCAAATGTTTTCCAGTTTCTTAAATAATTCTCAATGATGCTTCCACTAAAACTATCAAGTTTTTTCCCCCCTTTATTCTCTAATCTTACCTAGATACTGACTTCCTAAACTGCAAAAATTTTGGCCAGAACTTTTCTCATCAGGTAGGAATAAAAGAAAAACAAAACAAAACAAAAAAACCCCAAACAAACAAACAAATCCAGCCATTTCTCTAAGACCAAAACATCTGGTTAGCCATTTATAAAATTACTTTTCATTCTGGTATTATGGGCTCTCGTGTCATATAGTCAACTTTGCTGTTTTTCACTCACTCCTAAAGACACAAATTGCCTTGATTATTTTTGTTCTTTTATTGACATTCTGATTTTAATTGCATTGAATTTATAAAGTATAATGGCATCTCATCATCTTTAAACCATCATTGAGAATTATTTAAAATTTGTTTAAATTTTTAATGACTTTATATTTATCCAGATTTTTCATACTATTTGTATAGCATTCTTAGCCACCCTTCATTTTATTGTTAAATATCCATTTTCTAATTGTTCTTTATAGTTGTATAGAAAACTATTGGTTTTTGTTTCCTGATCTCAAAGACAGCAAATCTCAAAATCCTTTTATTGATTCTAATACTATCTTGGTGATTTTTCATTTTTTATGTGTCAACATTCATAAAGGGCTTGTGAAAAATAAAAGTTACTACTTTCTCTATAATCCTTACAATTTTAATTTATTTGTTTTAAGCCTTCCTGTTCTGATAAGAACTTCCAGGGGGGAAAAATGTTCACTAGAAATGGTATAAGAAAGAATCCTTATCTTGTCATGATTTTCAAAAACATTGTTTAAATGGTTCAAATTAGAATGCTATTTGTTGTAGGATATAGTTAATCTTTATTTAATTTTCTTTTATTAAGAGGGTTTTTTTTAAAATCAGGAGTTTGATTTTGACTTATATACCTTTTTTCTCAATTTATTCTAATGATTACATTTTCCTTTTTTCTTTCATCTATTAAAGTTTTAAGCTACTTAAACATATTTTCTACTATTACACCATCCTGTGTTTTAGCATATAACCAACCCCATTTGATATCGTTTTCAATATTGACTGCTAATTCACTTAATTAATATTTTAGTTTCATTTGATGCTTGAATTCTGGCTAGCCCTCCTACCCCCATTCCCCACAGCTGTTTGGACAGTGTTGAAGAGCTGTTCTTCCAAAGGGTATTTACCATTTGACTCTGTGAGACATGCCTCTGGCATAACTGGCCTTTGGGAAATCCATATGTTATTTTCATGCCTTGGCAATTCTCAGAGGAGATGGTTAATGTGGTTACTATTCACCTGTAATATCCCACCCCTACCCCCACTTTTTCTTTCCCCTTACAATATCATTTCAGTAGTATTTTTGAAGGATTACAGAAAACTATTTTATTCTGTACTTCAATCTGATTTAAAAGCAAAATTTCACTTGATCAACTTTCACCTTCCTTTGATTTACATGTCAATCTTCCCGATTAGACATGCTTTCCTACACACTTAAGGTTATTTCTAATCTTAATAAGATAATTCTTATCTCTAGTATATACACTTGCATCAAATAGTCAGTACTTGAGAAATAATTTTTGAATGAAAACATTTAACTTTAGCTACCAATTTCCAATGTTTTGTTAAGATTCAAAACATATAGAGACAACAGATTCATTTGTTCAAAAATACTATTTTTGTTTTCCAAGTACTGTGTTGCAACTCTTACCTTTACTTCTAAGTACCACACATTTAGTTTTCTCCTACTTTTTTCCTAATTGTGTATTTTATCTCTATTTTATACATTTTTCTACCTTATTTCTAAACAAATAGTTTAAACGTGCTTTTTTCTGAAGAATAATTTGCTTAAATGTAATATATTGTTGTTCATACAAATTTTAGAATATCCATATCTGTGATCTTCAATTTCTTCTCACTTATTTAAAATATTCCTGAAGTAGAAAGCTCAAAAAGTTATAATTTTGTGGATTAAATGTATTTTAAAGTACTTTTTGTGTATACATAGAACTTATTATAAAATTAAATTTTAAAATGAAACAAAAAATTACAATCATTCTTTGACTTCATCAAAATTATGTATTACCTCTTTAGACTACACTTCTTTGTTGTTTATGGCATTGGAATGTTACCTCTTTAAATAAAATTTCTATTCTGAAGTTTCTAAAATATTTGAGGCTTTTCAGTCAGTATTTTCTAAAAGTTAGTTGTTGAGCTTCAGAGATTTTTCCCTAAACAATAAAGTTACTTTTATTTTGATATTTTATTTATTTTTAAAATGTATTTATTTACTCTAATTTGTTATAGTATTTTGATATTTTAACAAATTTAAATTTGACGTATTTCCTTATAGTGGTATGCTGAAAAACCATCAAAAATTTAACCTCAGTATCATAACAACTGGGAAGTTTGCATTAATTGCAGAATCTGCATGAGAATACAAGAGATGTTCTTTTCTAGAAATGATTTTAAAGTGTTTTTGGGATGCTACATTTTTATGCTAAGAATTTTTTAGAGTGTTTTTTTTTCTGTTTTATTTTTAAAGAACTTTTTATGAAGGGGTAGATGCATATTTTAAGTACCCAAGAAAAAAAAATAAAGATGTACTCTCTTCTCTTGTTTATTTTAGCATTTCCAGTTTGTAATTGCTGTTAGTAATAAGGAGAACCTCCCTGTGGAGTCATGTATTGGCACCATCACTATAAACATCCAGAATGTTAATGATGAGAGTCCTGTTCTTAAGTAAGCAATGAGTTATCTAAATATTTAAGTGCTAAGATTAAATCACTGAAACTTTTTAAATAGCAGTTAAAATATCAATGTTTTACTATTTCTATTATAATTTTCTTAAAATTATTAGAAATCAAAATTTTATGAACTCTTTGTTATTGATTTTTTTAAATAAGGATTAAAAATCAACTCCATTTCTACTTTGCTTTCAACACTACAAAGAGAAATAATACTTTGGTGGAAAAGATTCTAACATTTGCTATTTTCTTGCTGATTAACTTTAATATGTAAAATATTACAGAAAACTCAGAGATATGTTCATGTTGTGGATCAATGTGGCAGTTCAAGAGAATTTGGGCAATAAGTTCTTGCTGATATTAAAATATTTCCAAACATATGAAATGAAAATGTGATTGCCAGAGTGTTTGTAGAATTTTATCATATGGAAAACAGTATAATTTACTAGTCATTGGAAGGACTGGAGAAAGAGTTTAGGTAAAAAAAAATTGAAAAAAAAAAAGAAAAGAAGAAGAAAAAATATTATAAGATCATTTATGATATGTAAGCATTCCCTACATACATAATAATCTACAAATTATTTAAGACCAGTGGCTTTAAAATGTTACAAAATATGTATCACAAGAAATTTAAAATATTTGTTGTATGACATAGATGAAAAGAGACATTTGTTTATACTGAATGATAGAAAAAAATCTCTTTTGTCCCACAGATACATACCAGATGCACCTATAAATATTTATGAAAATCTGCCTGTTGGAACAATGCTGGTCAAGTTGACAGCAACTGATAGAGACATAGGGGACTCAGTACACTATGAATTTATAGGTACACAAAAAGAATTTTCTATAAATGAAGGTAAAAAAGTTTTGTGGCTAATCATTTCAGAAAGTATAATATAATGTATTTTTCACTAGCTAAATATAAGCCTGATTATCATTCTATTAGGATGAAAACATCTTCAAAATATTTAGCAGTGTATTTACATATTTCTATGAAGTAACAAGTAATCATTTCTTCCTTCTCAGAAGTATGGAAACTCTCAGACAATTCAGATCCATAACAGTATTCCCTAGGATTTTATTGTATAGTTTTCCTCTGAGAAGTAAACTTTCCCATGGAAACCAGAATACTAGTTAACATAAATTGAATATTTATTTTTATATCATACATTCTTCTAGGACTTTGCATGCATAATAACCCCTTTGGGGTTTTACTGTCCTAACCCCCATCTATCATATAACTCCTGGAGAGGAGTTTTAATTTAGCCAAATTCATATGATTAATTTCTTTAGAAGACCTGTAGTGAATTTAATCTGCTTGATTGTGACACTTGTAACTCTGAGTACATCTCACATGACTGAAAGTTAGAAGTTCATGCCTCTAACAATTTAGGTATAAAGTGAGGAGGAGGAAGAAAGAAAAATTTCTCATCTTTTAAAGAGGGTATACACATAATTGGATTAAATATAAATGGTCTACCGTATCAATAGAAAGACCACCATGTAGGGGATCAGAATCTGAGGTTAGGGAAGAAGATGACCCATGGAGGGGTGGCTAGGTATGGCAAGTCACAGTTTAAATGGAGGGGAAGAAGGGTCCTTGAACTGGGTATGAGGGAGATGGCAGCAGAGAAAGGACAGTAGTTTACATACAGGGGGATTGATAACTACATTAAGGAAAGGCTGACACTCCTATAGGAGAGATGAATTATCAAGATAGAAAATGAAAACCATGTGGGTGGGGATGAACCATGTGGGTGGGGATGAATTAAAATTTGAAGGTATCAGAGTGAATATATGCATTTCAATATACATATTTGTATATATGTGTCTATACATAATATACACAAATACACAAAAAGTATTGACATAACTACATGTGTATACACACATACATACATTCTGTACCTGTGTCTACAATAAGATTGAAAGAGTTTAAGAACTCCAATGTCACAATAGCAAAAGTATACTTTGTGTGCAGATACTGACCTCTAAGTCCCATTTCCCTACAAGAGCTCCTTAGAGGAATGGTTCCTTTTGAGACTAGAGCAGTTAAAATATAGTATGAACAAACATGCAAGAACCTACTCATACAATAACAAGGAATGTCAATAAGGTGAAGAAATTAGACAAAATTGGTTATATTTTGGAAATGCTAGGTCCATTGGAATATCAAAATAAATAATCATGCATAGAATCAACCAAGGTGTCCACCAATGGGTGAAAAGATGAGGTACGTGCAGTATATTTTCACAATGGAATACTATTCCATTCTAAAAGAGTTTGCAATCTTGTCATTTGCAACAGCATATACAGAACTAGATATCATTTTGTTAAGTGAAATAAGCCAGAGAGATAAAAGATAGATAATACATGTTCTCAGGTCATAGAGACTTGGAAGGACACAGGATGGGAGATGAAAAGGAGATTAAGAGGTACCAAAAGGTAGGTAGTAGGAAGAATTAGTTCTGGCTCTCTACAGCACAGTAGAACAATCACTGGTCATAACAGTGAGATTTATCACCAAATAATGAGAACATAGGAGTATTAAAGTTCCCCAAACATAAAAATGATTAAGATTTTAGTAGATAAAAATATTTATTACTCTGATTTGGTTGTTATACATTGTATACATATATCAAATTATCATAATGTACTCATAAAGATCTATGAATATTATATATCAATAAAAATAAATAGGGCTGGGGTTGTAGCTCAGTGGAAGAGTGCTTGCCTAGCATGTGTGATGCACTGGGTTTGATTCTCAGTACCACATACAAATATATAAAATAAAGGCCCATCAACAACTAAAAAAAACATATTTAATAAATAAATAAACATAAATAAGTTTATTGTACATTAAAACCCATAAATAAAATGGGACACCATGAGTCCACAGAGACATAAATATGCAAATAAACATGACAGTTTGATGAGGTAGAGGATACTTATGTAGTTTCAAATACTTCTCCACAAAATATATTTTGCACAAGGCAAAACAGTAACTTTGGAATGGAGTAAACTGGCAGATGCCTGCTTAGTCAAGTAATTAAGATGGACATGATTAGTAATGAAACAAACTGACAGAATAAAGTATAACTTCTGTGGTATTTAATCAAAAGCTTTAAAACCTTAATCAATTGAGAAAACATCAGGCTCATCTAATCTGAGGGAAATTCTCCAAAATTGCTATTTTTAAAAATCTTAACCCACTTGAATCAAAGTGTGAAATATGATATATCAAGAACTATATAATCACATGGGGGAAGATGGCGGCGAAGGGAGTGCATTACCCCCGTGTACAATGTCACTGTGCGGGAGAATGACAAGTTAGAAAGGCTAAAAGCTATCTTGTTAGGAATTTCCAGCAAAATTGGGGTGCTCCAAAACCTAAAGGAAGGATTTCCATCGCACGAGGATCAGCTACGGGGGCTCAAACGCGAGAGATTTGTTCGCACGGAGGGTCACGCTGCTTATTCAGCAAATCGACCCATGGCTAGAGTCTGCGGCGCGCTCTGGGAAACGAGGAGAAAGCAACGCAAAGATTCAGCGCTGCAGTTTCCGCAGGCTTCTGCCAGCTGTGCAATCACAGTACTAAGTGCTGAATTCTGGGTTTGAGACAGGGGAAGGAAGCGGTCCAATTCGGTTCTCCACACCGGTCAGACCACAGAGGAAGCCAGCGGCCAACATCTTGGAGAGCTGACGTCACCATCCCTGTTTTCGACTGATCGCAGCTCATTCAGCCATAGAACAGGTAATTTCAGGCTGCCATTTGCCTGCGGCTCGCAGACAAATTACTCAGGCTCAGTGCTGATTAACCCGCAGAAACTGCTTCTTGGAGCCTGCTCCTATCAGAACATACACCGAGCACGGAGCGGCCGAATTCCGGTTCCCGGAACTGCTCTGGCCCAGGGCTAAAGAATCCGCGGAAACTGCTTCTCGGTCTGGGTCCTGCTGAACACTGTGGAGGTAAATACCAACCGAGTCTTCATAGGCAGTGGCAACAGGACTGAGACGGGGCTTGTGAGGGCCGGTCAGGACTCACCCGTTGCTTTGGTCACCCGGCAAAGGGAACGAAATGCTGCCATTCGCATGGGATACCAACATGGCAGAGATCTGATGTCATCAGAAAGCGGCGGAGGAGAGAACTTCATCGATACCAGCGGCGACAGAAACAGTTGGTCTCCTGGTAAAGAAAGTGAGTCACAAACACCCGAGTCTCTCTCACTTTGTCATCAAGCCAGAGGGGCAGAGCAGAGCAGCCGCCCGCTCCTGGAACAGGCCCAGCGGCCCGCCAGCATGACCCCAATTGGAGTAGGGGCAGAGCAGAGCCGCCACCTGCACCCGCAAGGTAGGCAGACCTGCGACTGACCGGCAGAACAGGACCAGTGGTCGGCGGGCGTGGTACACACGTCACCCCAGGTGAAGTAGGGGCAGAGCAGAGCCGCCACCCGTGCCTGAAAGGTAGGCAGACCTGTGACCGACCAGCGGAAAAGGCCCAGTGGCCTGCCAGCGTGACACACACGTCACCCCATTTGGAGTAGGGGCAGAGCAGAGCCGTCGCCCATTCCTGCAAGGTAGGCAGACCTGCGACCGACTGGTGGAACAGGCCCAGCGGCCGGCTGGGGTGGTAGGCATGTCACCCCAATTGGAGTAGGAGCAGAGCAGAGCCTTCGCCCATGCCCGGAACAGGCCCAGGGGTCCGCGGGCATGGTAGACAAGTCACATCAATTGGAGGAGGGGCAGAGCAGAGCCGCCGCCCGTGCCTGCAAGGTAGGCAGACCGCCACCTAACCCTGCAAGAGAGACTTTTCAACTATACAAGAGCAATATAAATATATAGGGGGAAAATTTTTTCAAAAACACAACAGTTTCACCAAGCAGAAAGAAACGCAAGCAATATGAAAAGACAAGGAAAGAAAGGACCACAAGCAATGTAGGTCAGCTCAACTTTAGAAGAGGTAACAGCTGCAGCAGATGGAATGTCAGATAAAGAATTCAGGATATACATGCTTCAGATGATCTGGAGTATCAAGGAAGACATTAGACAGCAAAATCAGACAATGAAAGATCACTTCAACAATGAATTACACAAACAAATCCAGGCAGCAAAAGATCAACTATACAGGGAGATAGAGGATATAAAAAGCAAACAAACAGAAATCCTAGAAATGCAGGAAGCAATAAACCAACTTAAAAACTCAATTGAGAATACTACCAGCAGAGTAGAACACTCAGAAGATAGAACATCAGACAATGAAGACAAAGTATTTCAACTTGAAAAGAACATAGACAGCTCAGCAAGACTGTTAAGAAATCATGAGCAGAACATCCAAGAAATATGGGATAACATAAAGAGACCATACTTAAGAGTCATTGGGATACAGGAAGGTATAGAGGTCCAAACCAAAGGAATGAGCAATCTATTCAATGAAATAATACAAGAAAACTTCCCAGACTTGAAGAATGAGACAGAATCCCAAATCCTAGAAGCCTACAGGACGCCGAATGTGCAAAATCATAAGAGATCCACACCTAGACACATTATAATGAAGATGCCCAACATACAGAATAAGGAGAGAATTTTAAAAGCTACAAGAGAAAGGAAGCAGATTACATTTAGGGGTAAGCCAATCAGGATAACAGCTGATCTTTCAACACAGACTCTGAAAGCTAGAAGATCCTGGAATAACATATTTCAAACACTGAAAGAAAATGGGTTCCAACCAAGAATTGTGTATCCAGCGAAATTAAGCTTCAGGATGGAAGATGAAATTAAAACCTTCCACGATAAACAAAAGTTTAAAGAATTCGCAGCTAGAAAACCATCTCTTCAAAACATCCTGCCAAAGCATTA